CAACTGGGTCATGAATCATACAGGATAGTTAGTGCCCACGCATCGTAACCACATCCAAGTAAGCTGTTGTGTAAGTGGATTGTAAGGTGCAAGCACGTAATGGTCTTTGAGGCTGGTTTTACATTAACTAAACAGTGTATACGTACTTTTTTAGTCGGGCTAATAGACGTAGTTGCGTTTGGGGATGTAACCGAGTTTTGGTGGTATTAAAATGTATTGCACGTACTAAATGGCATGTTTTTTTGGTTTGCAAGTGGGTTATAATCCTGGTAGTTTGCAGTAGAGGTATTCAACCTACAAAGTGGGGTTCCCAGTTTGTAAGTAACACAATATACAACCAGTTTAAATTCCAGGGGATATAACCAAGCTATTGATTGCTCATCCAAGTAAATGATCAATTCCGATCTGGTTCCTAGATGATTATTAAATGGCAGGTGTCCAAGATGTATTTTTCGTTGTTTAAATCACCTTGTTTGTCCAGCCCCAAGCTCAACTATGTATAAGTATATTATGTCTGATTATGTATATTATTTGATTTTATATGCAGTACTCATAGTATAGCCATGTAATATCCCGTCGTATATGATTATATATAGCCCCACATATTTGGACCATGTTTCTAATCAACCACTAATTGAATCCCATTAAATCACCATTAAATCCTCTTATTCCTAGTCAAACCCCATGAAACCATCATAACTTGGTTGGTTAAATCACCATATTTTTCGAGCTCCAAGAGCTTATTAGATCCATATCAGATGTATATCAGGTGTATATTATCCCATTAAATCCTAATCTTGTTCTTGGTGAAATCCGATTTCTCAACTTATTTTTCCGGTTCCAAGCTCAACCAAGTATCATTATCGTATTAGATTTATACTCCCATACTATACCCAGACTATACCCATAGCAATTAGATATCTATATACCCCCAAATATAGACAAATTTCCCATCAACCCCTAGTCAAATCTCATTGAATCACCATTAAATCACCGCATTCCTACCTGGTTGGTGGTTTCAACCCCTCTGAAAAATATGAGTTCGTCAGTTGGGAATACTATTCCCAATATATGGGAAAATAAAATTCATGCTCCAAACCACCAACCAGGATATTTGTAGCCAACTTAGCTAACTAGGGCTTCACATCGTGTGGTGAATCACAAATAGAATCTCAACCAGTGGTGAATCCCCCATCGATCCAATATGCTCCCACATTCCTACTTAAATCCCATAGTTTTCCCAAAAACCGTCCAAGCCTCAGTTCTGGCACCTCATCTCCAGGTCTTAACCACTTCAGCTGCTCCAGCGCTTGCTGCCACGACACCGCAACGCCGCTCGTTGCTTGGGTCAAGGACAACGCTAGCAGGCGCTGCCGCAGCGCTTCTTCGGCGCGGAGGGAGGCGCCTAGCAAGGAACTGACCCCATTTTTTCCATCAAAACACTGGAACTTCGCCATCAAAACATGGGGAATTTGTGTGTTTTTTTAATGGAGATGTGAAACATGTTTCGGGAATTTCTCCTTGGAACCCTCAGAGAAATCATGATGAAAAACCAAGACAAATGATGAATTTTCATGGGATTTAATAGAATTTAACTTAACTATCAAACTATGAGGTGTTTATTGGGGGGTATAGGAATTTTTGGAGCGTTATTGAGTTTTTTGCATGTCAGAGATATTGGGATATAACTGAGAAATTTAGTTTTATCTCGAGAAATTAAGTTTTATCTCCATTTCATGGACGTAGAATGAAAATGATCTCTCATTGCAACTTGGACCATAAAAAAACAATTGCAGGCTTGTTTCGCTGCATTTACTCGGTTGATCAGCCTGGAATACCTACTCAACTTAGATAGTTGCCATTCAAATGTGGTTCTATCGACGACGATGATGCACCCTGAGAACTTTTTGGACGTTGCTCCTGCAATGCCAAGCCCCTCGCCACTGATCCCCGTGCTGGAGGTGGCAATGGAGGTTCTCTCAAGACTGGAACTGCTTTCGGTCCTGAGCTGGATGCTTCACCTGACGCCTTTGGCAAGGATGAATGAGACTCAACAGCAGTTGCCGGTGCAACCGCCTTTGCCACTGTCACCCTTCTATGATCAGCCGGCACACTCCTTTCGGAAGAACTTGCAATCGTGGTCACAGCACCGGTGGCTGTCTTGGCCTTTGCAATCACAATTCTAGGCGATGGAGATGTATCCGAACGGCCTGGAGGTGGGCCTGAAGGCTGCTTCGGAAAATTTGGAAACTCTACCCAAGAGGGCGGATGCTCAGGCTCCCTTGGAACTCTAAGATCTCGGGCTTCCTCTTCCTCAGCTTCAGTGTCCTCTTCCTCCCACTGATTTTCGAACTCACCAATCACTTCCTGGCGAACTGTCGCTCGAGTGTTTCTCAAGAAATCTTCGTCAAGCACAAAAGGATATTCGTTCGATAATTGACCGTTTGCTAATCCCTGCTCAAGAGCTGCTGTCTTCTGCGACTGACCCCTTCTCCCTGAACGATGCCAATCGATAGCCCGCCAGAGGGTATCACCAATTGAAGAAATCTTCGCAAAAGTCAAAAGGCTGATTTAACGGCAGCTGAAGAAAAATACGAAGTGCAGAACTTGATGAAAACGATGGTGAGCCTTACGGCTGATAACCACGAGAAAGTGGTGAAGTGCGACAACGACAATGGCAAAGCAGTGAACGTGCGCACCTTTTTCCACAAGTGGCAACTTGAGCCAAAAGTCAAGATCGCAGATCATTTAGACCCGGACCTGGGAGATTGGCTTGCCTATTGGACATGTTACTTAATGTCACAGTACATGCAGAAAACGTTGGATTCCATAAAAACATCTTTGATGTTGTAAACACAGGTCAGTACGAAAATCATGCATACTAGGAAGGAGCCCAAAGGCTACGCAACCTGGCTTGTTGGCATAACGACTTTGACTGGTTAGTGACACGAATCCATGTATATGGTGATACATCTGCTTGGACATAATTGGTAGTTTTGCCTGAGTTTATTCTTCTGTTGATTAGCTATTTGCTGGTTGTATGCTGTTGTATGCTTAGATTGTCCCAACTCTTCCACAAATCATCACATGAGGCAAACTCCGAAAACGTGCCGTAATCCGTTCTTCTGGCTCCGATGGGTACTTTATGGATCTTTATGGTACTTTGCTAAAAACTCAATGAGTGACGTCATGTCAACGTTGTTCACTCATATTTGAGGTTTAAAAAATAATGGTAATTACCCCAAAATCCAGTGGTTTATCATCATTTTCCCTGGGAAGCAGTGGTTCTTTGGGGGGACAAACCTACCAGAACCATGACTTCGTTAGCCCATGTCTTTGCTGCTTGGTTTGCCCATACGCCTTTTTCGCCTTTTTGGAGTGGAAAAAAACCAACAACAACTCCAGCAGGTGAAGTAAAATGAGATGAGCGAAATTTCATGAAACTGGATTAAAGTCAAAGTTCGTTAGAACTAAGCAAGTTATATAGTTGGATCTAATAATTGATTGCCTATTTATTCATTATTCCACTCTCTGTTTTCCCTTTGGTAATCTAACATATGGGAAATAACCATTTCTTAGGTCAATCAACTAAACCATCTATAAATGGCTCATTTTTGCATGACCATGTACCAAATGACCGGCTAAGTCCAGGTTATCCCCGCGCCACGTGCCTGCATGGCGTGCCTCCTCCAGTAGCAATGCGGCCAGAGGCCACTGATTTTCCGAAAGCAATGCGCTGATGCGCACCTCGTAGCCTGCGACGTTGTGCGTTACGACGGACGACGCTGGCCGCTTTAATGACCCATAGGTTCTACGGATATGCATAGGATTGTGTAGAGGTAGTGTAGTTCTTTACTTTGTGTAGATTAGAAAAATTCTGTGAATGTAAATCATGTGTATTCTATTTATGTATACCCTCTGGTAAACTAACATAGCTATTGAAAATGGCCATTTATAGTGAGTTTTCCCATTAAAAATGGTGATTTTCCATAGTTATGTTAGTTTACCAGAGGGTAACTATAAAATACTGAGTAAGTGAGATGAACCCCCCAAGTCAAATTTTTGACTAAATGGTGACTGGAGACTCACCCAACGAGATGTTCTGACCCCTGGTGCTGAACGTTGATCCCCTGCGAAGTTGGTTGGTCTAAAAACTGTAATAATGGCTGTGCTAAATCCTGATCTAACTCCAAAAACACCCAAAAAAAACTACTGTTCTGCAGCAAAAAAAAATCCAGTCTCCAATGTTTCTCTTATTCTTGTTCAACCTCTTCAGCCGCACATGAACCCGATATTTTACGCTGCAGTCGGGCACCTTGCTCTTGGGGGCAGCGATTCTTCTGCCAGAGTTTGCCCAAAGTCTTCTCTGCACGAAGGACATGGCGGCGCATGGGCACCCGCCATGACTTTTCAGCGATGGTGACAGGAAAGTTGGGTATGTTCGGTGAGGCCCCAGAGTGTGATGTTTGGTGTATAAAGCCATAACTATAGTCATATCCCCCCATCAACCCAACAGTTGACCAAGTTGTAAATCAAAAATTGGAACAGGATGTGCATTAAAAAAACCACTGAATTTTCAGCAGATGGACAATGATCATGGTAGATTCCAAGCCGGAATCTAACCGTCAAACCTGCTCGGTTCTACATGTTGCGGGATGGGTCGAAATTGGGTCAAAAATAGCATGGCACTGATCTAGAATCTATGGGTGCACCATCGTTGCACTGCGCTTTTGCCAGAGAGGTATGGGTCAATACGCTAAAACCATTCAATTGAAACGAAAACCGAATTGAACTTGAACCATTAAAAATCACCCCTATCTGTATCCCATCTAATCAAAAACTACTCGGTAGTACTCGGTTTCCCTACTATGGGTTATTTGTTTATCCCCAATAATTCGGTAGTATAAGTCCTTATATTAACCAATCAACCAAGGTATTTTTAATAGCTCAATCGAGTTTGATGATGAGCATGAGAAGTATCGAACTACCATCATCTCGCATCAGTTCACCACAGGCTTGTGGGCGCTGTTGGGCGCTGGGCGTACCGTGTTGGTTGGGAGGTTGTCCTCGCAGATTGGGACAGGGCTGGTAGATATGGGGTACATATGTTGCTGTTTTCATGGGATATACCCTCTGGTAAACTAACACAACTATGGAAGTTTTACTATTTTCAATGGGTAAATCAACTATGAATGGCCATGTTCAATAGCTTTTTGTATGTTTCCCAGAGGGTTTTATGGAGATTTCATGGGAGGATTTTCCCTGGGGATTTCATGGGATTTCACCAACGGTCACATCGTGATTTTTCATGGGACTTCATGGGATACTTAGATGGGCCATGGGATTAGCTAAATGGTTAGTAAGTGGGGATATAACCCTCTATATCCCAATTATAATCCATTTACTAACTAGTTAACTAACTCCATGGTAGGGGTTTTTAACCACCAATACGTGATGTTCGGGTGTGTCTGAAACTGGGGTATATCCAATTGCAATTTCTAACCAGAAGTGATGATTGACCAGTGGAATTAGGGCCCATTTTCACCACCAGCAATATCTTTTGGGAAGAATATCTTTGGGTCGTTTAGGTATATGGTCATCATTTACCTGTTCTCCCAAAGGGGTGCTGACTCCTCTATTAATCAGCCAACCAGTGAAAAGAACATTTAAGTGGCCATGGGTAAAAGTGCCCTACTTCGGGGGTGCAGTTCCATGACACATTTTTGTGGGTTAGATTTCACGATCGTTTCAGGGCTTCCATATTCCAACTTGTGGGGGTTAGAATATCTTAGAATCCCTTCCTGGCCCCCCCAAGTGGACCACAGATCGTGATCGTTGAGTCTCAAGTCTCAAGCCATGTTCGGGATTTTGTGGGTACCTTCACCCACAGAAACTGTGGCTGTCTCAGAATTTGGAAGAAATCCATCAAATTCCCACAGTTTGTCATGTTCCACGTCATGTTTCTTGCTGGCTATAGATACTTAAGTAATCTTAAGGATATCCCACGTTTTGAGACTGAATTGATCTCATGATAGCTGGATCTATCCCAGATATTCAATGAACTGTTGATAAGCGTGTGAACCACTTTCAATGCCACCCAGATTTCAGTCGAAAATCCCACTCTTTTCGTAGCATTTCATAAGATAGGTGAATGCATACATCTATCATCTATTTGGGTAAATTACAAAAAAAATCACTCACCTGAATTGTTGGGCCATTAAAGACATTAAAGGGGATGATTTCAAAGGATGATTTCCCCAAAAATCGTTGGGCCATGATTCCAGGCGCTGCCGAGCCCAGCTAGAAAATCGCACATCACCCTGGGGCAAGCCATGGGGCCTGAAATTTTGAGAAAGCCCCAGTGATGTTTCTTGGCTTCTACCTTTAATCATTAAGATACCATTAAGATTCCATTAAGATTCCATTAAGAATCCATTAAGATTCCATTCAGATACCATTAAGATTCCATTAAGATTCCATTCAGATACCATGAAGATTCAGGAATTGAGTTCCATCCATAAAACCCCAACCATCCATGACCTGTCGGAAAGCTCCATTTTTTGGATCTGACTGGCCCCATTGATCAAGGGACATACCCGGCCTCGTAAACATACAAAAAACCACGGAAAATCACAATGTTTAATGGGTAAATCAACTATTTCTATGGCCATGTTCTCCTCGTTTTTATTCGAACATGTGCACTTTTTTACCCAATGTTTCTCAGAAAATCATGCAATAAAAAGATCTTCAATACCTACCTCCATGGTGAATTTTAATGTCCAAAAAAAAAACTATACAATGTTTTGCTGGCTAGTACATTGAACCATTGATAGCAAACCATTCAAGTACAACACTTACTACCCTCTGGTAATTTAACAGTTCGCTATTGAAAATGGCCCAGTCGAAATAGTGAGTTTTCCCATTCAAAATGGTGGATCTTTCCATAGTTATGTTAGTTAAAATCACCATTTTTAATGGCTAAATCCACTATAAATCACCATTTTCCATGTTTTTTTTGTATGTTTACCAGGCCGGGTCTCTAACTTAAATCGCTTGACCCACCACAGTCCCAGCCTGCGACTCACTGCCGCCACTAGGGCTCTCAACCTCCAGCCATCTTTCGATCACAACGGGAGGTTACCAGGTTGAAGAAACACAATGGTGATTTTATGGATTTATTGTGATATTAGGCACATTTAGGCACCAAAATATCACTGATATTAGGAAACCAGAGAATTATGATATAACATGATATCACTGAATTAGGCACCAAAACACTGTGTGTGTGTGTGGGTTATATCATAGTTATATCCCAAAAGAATCATGCATCAATTGGAAAATCAAAGTTGGAAAATCGAGATCCCCATGGTTCGCCAAGTACTTTTTCAGAAAGAAGGAACATTGTAACATCATCCATTTTCCAGCATGCCATGTTTGACTGCCAATCTGGGAACCTGGAAATCCAAGGGCACACCGGGCACACCTCCATTCGGAGTTGTTAAACCCCATGAAACGTTCTTTCGGGTCGTCATTCTGGTTTATTGATCTCCAATTCTTCGGGTCTCAAAAATATTTCATACACGGGATGGTGACCACATGGCATCGGGTTTACTACTCCCAATATGAGTCAAATATCTTGATAAATTCATAATGTTTACCCTAGGGTAAACTAACAAAGAGGTGAAACACCCGTGGTTTGCTTGGGAAAATGTACAAATGCGGGTAAACTCCACATCTACGTTGACAGGATCGTAAGTCACCAAACTAATCCCTAAACACTGAAGCCGTTTGGTTGTCATTACCATGTCCATTTCCTTAAGGACATGTTCAACGTGAAACTTAACATTCAAATTGTGATTTTCTATTGGGTGCATATATTGTTTGTGTTTTGATGTTTTTCAGTCTGGGGCAAATTTCCTTGTTATTTGCTACATTTTGGAGTGAAAACCTGGAATTTGCTGAATTTTTGGGCTAAAATTTCTCATTTGCACTATTCATCGGTTTTTCCATGGTTTTAATCAATGTGTGCGTGGTTTGAATCGATTGCTCTACGGTTCACTCGATTTTTCCATGGTTTCAATTGATTTTTCCATGGTGTTCATCGATTTTTCCATGGTTTCAATTGATTGTTCGATGCTTTCAATCGATTTTTCCATGCATAACATGCACCTGGTAAACATGTAGAATACATATAGGTTGAAGCACAACCATCTTGGGTGTGAAAAGTTTCATTGGATGCTATCATAGTGTTGGTTTAGGGTATATTTAGGGGTGGTTTAGGATTTATTTAGGGTTGGTTTAGGGTTTATTTAGGGTTGGTTTAGGGTTTATTTAGGGTTGGTTTAGGGTTTATTTAGGGCTGGTTTAGGGTTTATTTAGGGGGCATAGTAGATACAGTATAGTTGGAGAATAAATTTGATCAAGTGTCCTGAAATACTGTTTTCATAAATTAAAAAAGGGCTAGTTTTGACACGTGTTGAAAACATGCGCAAATTCCTCTCATAAAAGAACGCATATCAACTTAGAAGTAAAAAGCTACAAAAGCCAAGAAGCGGCAAAGCCAACCAGCCAAAACAACCCCAAAATAAAAACAAGAAAAGCCACAAAAGCTACAAAAGCCGAGAAGCCACAAAAGCCAAGAAGCCAGTCTGGAAAAAAACAACTCCCTTTCTATTCAGCACAGATTTCTCAGATTTTGAAATAGTTGGTTAATAGATTTCCATCACCAATTTCTGGCTAAATCCTGGTACTGTATATCCCAATACCCTCTGGTCAACGTTTACATAACTATGGAAAATCACCATGCTATCAATGGGTAAATCCACTATGTCTATGGTCATTTTCAATAGCTATCATAAATCAGCTATAAATCCCATGAAATCCCCATTTTCCTATGGATAAATCCACTATAATAAACCAGACATAACCAGAGGGTATCCCATGATACCCCCATCGTTTGTTGATCAAATTACCCTGCATGAGAGTAAAGAAACGCAGCCCCAAAAGGCCCATTGTTCCCATGTGAGTTGCCGTTCCCATCTCAGACCCTAGATAATATAGATATGCCATATGGAAATCACTATCAAATCCCATTCAAACCCATTCCCATTCAATCACAATGTTCCTAGTATCCCAATAAATTATCATTAAATCACAGGTAGATCCCATTAATTCTTTCTAGTGAAATTATATTTCAATTATATCCCATCATATCATATTATATCCCCATAATTTCTTGATAGAATCACCATCTAATTCTATAAATCTACCGACCAAACTGGCGCGGAATACTGACTCAACCGCCTTCGAGGCCGAAGTTTCAGAACGATCTTCACTTTGGCGATCCTTCAGTTTTTGGGCCTCGACACCACCCCGTTGCTTCCCGTCCACCCGGGGGTAAATCAAAGGGAAATATAGATTATAGAGGGGACAAAAATGACAAAAAAGGAACCGGCACCTTTTTGTGCTTCAATGGATGGGATTTGAATCGGCCAAAAATCATGATGTCATAGAAAATTAACCATGAAAAATGGGGAGTTCCTCTGCGGTTAATCCTCATAAATAAGGATTCAAGATAGTAGTCATATTGTACTACCACAAGATTGCCACAAGCTATATATATATAGCTGAACTAATATATCAAATCCATTCAAATCATGATGTTCAAACGATATTCGCTGCGGGGCACCCTGCACATTCCAAATGGAATCTATTTCACTTGGTTCAATCAATCACTCAACATCTTTGCTGAAGTTCCCAAAAAAAAACAAAACATGTTCCCTAGCTGAAAAAACCCGTTTTGTCCCTTGCTGAAATCATGCGAAAAAAATCCACATCAATCCCTCCTTTCGTTGGTTACATGCCACGTGAATCACGATTTTTGCCATGGTGAAATCCCAATTTTCCTTGGTGAAATCAGTGAAATCCATGTGAATTTCCCATTAAAATCCATGGTGAAGTTTGATTACCAAAGGTTATACCTCCAATCATCAGTGGACTAACCCGGTTACCTACTAATTTGGATTAATGTGGTTAAAACAATGATAAACCATTCCCAAATTCACCATTTTTATGGGTGGTACAAAGCATCAAAAATGGGGGGGGGCCTACTGTTTTAACCACATCATAATAATTTCCGAAGCAATAAATTCAAAATGAATCTCCAATCATAAGTGGACTAACCCTAATTTGGGATTCTTATCATCCAACCTCCAGCAACGGTCCTTCCCCAACAGCCTTGGTCATCGCCACCAATCGCTCCTGCAGCTTTCCACGGATCACGCGCAGATCCTCCGACACCTGGGGCCGGACAGGGGTGGAACTTAGGACATTTAGCAAGAATTACCCTCTGGTAATTTAACATAGCTATTGAAAATGACCATTTATAGTGGATTTACCCATTAAAAATGGTGATTTTCCATAGTTACGTTAGTTTACCAGAGGGTAAGGAATGAATGGTGACATTTATTATCATTTTAGACGATTTGTTTTTGTATTTTATGGCAATTGTTTCAGATGTTGGGGGGATTTATGAATGAAGATCTAATAGCAAACAACCAGAATTACGATTTATTGATGATTTTATATGGGATAGATCATACTTAAAATGGTTTTTTTTGGGTTGTCGTTTAAGGTTGAATGTCAAATCCACATGGCTATGAGTCAAACATTCACCCACCCCTGATTGATATTAAAATCACAATCCAATCTGGTTGGTGGTTTCAACCATCTTGAAAAATATGGAAGTCAGTTGGGATGATGACATCCCATATATGAAATGGAAAATAATCCAGTCATGTTTGAAACCACCAACCAGCAATTGGTGAAAAAAACAGTTTAACTGTTGGTTCAGTCTGAGATCATCAAGACTTAGAGTTGGATCCCCATCATTTTTTAGATCTCCGTCATGATCCTTGCCTTGCTTCAAGCTGTTCCGTGTTGGTCATAGCGGTTTGCTATGAAAAGTTATCACCGCTCATAAAAGCCATCATGACTCTGCTAAATTGAAATCCACCACTTTCACGAAAAAATCCACCACTTTCTTGAATTCATTACCATCCGGTGATCAAACCTCCCAAATGTTTCCCAAAAGAATCCATGACACGATGACACAAAGGACAGGCTAGGCTTCAGGTGAGGCCCAGTTACGAGTTGCCTTAAATCACTCAAGCCATGAACATCCATTAACTACTGCTTGGTGGTATACCCCTCTGAAAAATAGGAGTCACTTGGGATGATGACATTCCATTCCCAATTAATGATGGGAAAGTCATAATCCAAATGTTCCAAAGCACCAACCAGACTCTAGTTGTATCCTCAGTCTCCTCCATTTGGGTATGGATCAATACCTCTTAATACCATTTTTAGGGGGATGAACATCCATAAATCCCAGCTATTTTGGGGTTCACTAGGGGTACCAGGGGTTTGACCTATCCCCATTTTACCAGTAATGGCACTTTAATTATGGTAGTTATGGTGCCATTAATGGATATTCATGCTAGTATATATGGCACTTTAACATCCATTAACTATAGTTGTATCCTCAGTCTCCTCCATTTTTTGATGCCCTTCACCCACCTCGAAAAAAAAAACAAAAAACACCAAACATCACCATCACCATCCCCCGCACCCTCCAGGCGTCTTCATCCTCGATCTCGCTGGAATCCGACGCCTCACGACTGTACCTGCCAGGACTTGGCTGGCGATTTTAAGCCCTTTCCACCTTTGGAAGTAGGGAATTCTTAAGAAAAACATGACCGAAAAAAATGGAGAAATCTTCAGAACACCTGGGATTTCCGAAGAAAAATAGGGGAAAAGTCTCAGAAATCAGAACTGGACCATTTGACAAAGTACTATTGAAATTGAAACCAATGGCTTTGGCCCAGACCAAGAAATTCCCATGTGGTTCTCTCGAAATCATCCCGCCGTGCTTAAATGCCTTGCACAACAAAATGGCTGGGCACAGTATCTCCATTAAAGTAGAAAAAACGCGAACTAACCTAAGATTTACCGTTGCCAGTTGCCATTCTCACTACTAACCTTAGGTATAGGTTACTAACCCATGTTACTCACTAACCGTGTCACTAAACTAAGGTGTACCATTTTTAACCATTGTTACAATGTGGGGCCCCCGGTCGATAGCGTTCAGTTGGTGCAAATAACTCCAATTTCACTATGGTTTATGGTACGTAAATAACTATAGTATTCATGGGCTTTATAAACCAACTAACATCACTGGGGGGCCCCACATTGTAGTAACTACACTAGCGTGTTACCTATACAAAAACCATTGTTTACCAAAGATCTGGTGGCAATAGTCTTGGCCTGTCCGCATAGCCGTCCAGCAAATTGCAGAGGCCCTGCCGCAACGTGACTTTTCGCCGGGGGGTGGGGGTGTAATTTTCAGTGTATATGTATGATCATAACCAATCTGTAACGCAAATGTATATTAGGCATGTATATTACATAAATTATATATGTTTGAATGGGTTTTTCGCCTTAAATACCATGTGCGGGTCCCGCACATGGTAAAAGTGTGCGGACCCCATGGCATAAAAGCATTAAACAATGAACTGTCACGGCAAAGTCACAAGCCTGTGACTGCAAAGTCTTGCAACAAAGGCTGGCGCCTTTTTGCAACAAAGTAATTAATTATCAGTGGCCATTCCAGGATCCTAAATTGGAGGTACCTACCATATATAATATAAGGCCTATATAAGGCCTATGCAAGATTGTAGTTTGTGTTGAGCCAACAGAACTTTATTTTTGGGAATCTCTGTGAGAGCTTAGCACCGTTTGAGTGGTGTTCAAAGCATGTGACTGTTGGTTAATTGGGAAACACGCCCCCTCCCGGTATTTTTTTTATCAGGGGGGGGCAACCCATTTTAGTATTGCCCAAACATTTTTCCTGTGTGGGGGTTGATTAATTCCTAGTGGGTTATTAATGCCAACTTGACATTATCTAGATCTGTATCTAGATCTATCTGTCTCTATCTATCTATCTATCTATCTAGCTATCTAGCTATCTAGCTATCTAGCTATCTAGCTATCTAGCTATCTAGCTATCTAGCTATCTAGCTATCTAGCTATCTAGCATATCTAGCTATCTAGCTATCTAGCTATCTAGCTATCTAGCTATCTAGCTATCTAGCTATCTAGCTATCTAGCTATCTAGCTATCTAGCTATCTAGCTATCTATCTATCTATCTATCGATCTATCTATCTATCTATCTATCTAGCTAGCTAGCTATCTAGCTATCTAGCTATCTAGCTATCTAGCTATCTAGCTATCTAGCTATCTAGCTATCTAGCTATCTAGCTATCTAGCTATCTAGCTATCTATCTAGCTATCTATCTAGCTATCTATCTAGCTATCTATCTATCTATCTATCGATCTATCTATCTATCTATCTATCTATCTATCTATTTCCCATAACAAAAAAATGATTCCTAACCTGTACGTTTATATCTCCATATGTTACGCTAGTTACACTGATATTCTTACACTTACGAGTATATTATATATAATATGGATATAAAAGAAGATATATACACATATACACAAAGTGTATATGTGTACACATATTACACATATATTATATAGAATTAATATCAGTACATATACCCCACAGATCATCCAGATACTTTCGGACGTCGTTGGGTTATTTTTGTTTAATCCAGAGGGACGGTCCGTTGGTGAAAAAAAAACCGTTGGGTTCCAGTAGAAATCACCAAAAAAACGCGAAAAAAAAAACTAAATTATATCAACCATTTCCAACTTTCAACAGCAACCCAATCATCATTATCATCATTTTTGAGTTCCTAAATCCGAACCATTTCAACAGCAATCGAAACGCCCGCATAGAAAAGTCTTTCCCGCCTCGTAGTCCACCAGGCCGGGGCGCTCGGCGCCCGCCAGACGCAAGGCCTTGGTCCAACTGACTTGGTCCAAGTGCTGCAAATTTGGGACCTAAATACGAAAAAAACCGGTGATATATAGGTGATATATCTACAAAAACTATATGGTTTATATAGGTGATATATCCACAGTCTATATACCATCTGGTTATGACTGACAGTTTGCCATGGAAAATCCACCCATTTTTAAGAACGGTAAACCATCTATTTCTATGGGCCATCTATACCATGGCTATGTTAAATAACCAGAAACATTATACATCTATAGAGTTTTTAAAATCTGGTCTATATATATATATATACCATGATACATCTATAGAGTTGGACAAAAAATCTAACCACCAAAACCTGCCAAAACCATTGTGCCCAAAAAAACACATGTCGTTTTTTCTTGGTCTTGCAACGTTCTCTCCCCCCAACATCTTCTCCCACTTTTTTTTTCCCGAAAACGGCCGAAAATCCGCCGCTGTTTTTCTCCACCTTTTTTCACAACTGGAGATCTCTGGTGGCGAGACCCTCTGGTAAACATTTACATAACTATGGAACATCACCATGCTATTCATGGGACAACTCACTATTTCGACTGGGCCATGGCTTCTATGTCGCAAAGTGTCACAAATTACCAGTGGCGATGGAGTAATCGCCCGTCACGTCCACGCTGCTGGGATGCAGCTCCCCAGTGATTTCGTCGGCCCAGGTGACGAAGAGCCCCGTGCCGCTGTCGTCGGGGAAGCGGAAGGGACGGCCGCAGCCCAGCACTTCGCCGGGCCTCGGGGGGTCGGGGTGGGGGGGAAAGGAAAGGAAGGGTGAAGATCAAGTTTTTTTGCAGCAGAAATGGGGGATATCATGGTGTTTTCATGGTGATTTAATGGAATTTCATGGTGATTTAGTGGAAATGAATGGTGGTTTAATGGAATTTGATGGTGATTGAGTGGAATTTAATGGTGGTTTAATGGAATTTGATGGTGATTGAGTGGAATTTAATGGTGGTTGAATGTTGATTTAAAGGAATTATATAAGTTAAGCGGTGATTTTATGATGGGTTTTAATGGCGTTCAGTGAAATAGCTAGGTTGCGATAACTATCTTAACTGTTGGATTTATGATGGATGTATCTATGCATTGATTTTAACTTCTTTGCCCAACAACAGTTTGGAAAGATGATGTTGTTCTGCAGAAAATATGATAATCACCAATGCGGGAACTGCCAGGCAGTTCAAAGAGACTTTTTTGACTTCATCCCAGTGTACTGTTTACTTTCCCCCAAATGATCACCAAACGAACTGAGAGGCACCGACCCGCAAAACATCACCCTCAACACTTGTTTTAGCAAACTGAGCAGAAAAACAAAATCAAAAATAAAAAATAAAAATAAAATAAGTAGAGATCTTCCAAGATGATTCCAAGGTTCCAATCGTCCCATCCCCAGCTTTCCTGTAGCCAGTTTCTCACCTGTTCTCGGGTGCCATGCTTCGGCAGCTGATACTCCCGGCCCCGGCACAGCGCGGCACCGCAGCGCACGATGCGGCAGCGGAAGTCGCGGCGCCGCACGCGGTACGTGCGGCTGCAGTCGAGGTAGGGACACTGCACCAAGACATCTGAGCCAATGGCAACCTGCCATTGGGGGCTGCATTTCCAGTTAGATGTTAGAAGTAGATGTAGCAACCACTATGAACTCATGAAATCCCATGAAATCCCATGAAATCCCATTAAATCAGTTCTATGATGCTAGAAATAGATGTAAAACTCTAGTCGTTCTAGGGCTTTTATTTTGGAACCAGCTGGTGAATCACCAGGGCATCCCGGCGATCCCATCCTCCAACTCTGGCACATTGTGGCAGTAATCCGCAGCGCTTTTGCCCCAGCAATCTTTGGCCGTGGCATCCTTGGCACTGGCGCACCGCAAGCCGCCACGCGGCTTGCGGCTGAGTTAGAATCAGCAAAGACAACTTGTTTATGATATAAGGATTAAATGAACACAAAGATTCTATCCCTAAGTTACTAAGCTTTTATATAATGATGTAAGAATTAAATGATTTAACAACAAAGATTCTATCCCTAAGCCTGTAAATCATCCAACAATCCAACCTGAAACCAAATTAAATCATCATAAACACAACGTGTACCTATATCATCTATATCATATATTATATGTCTTATTATGTCTTTCTCGACTGGGTTCCATGATGCTAACCGCAACCCACCAGGTTTCAGTTTCAAATGCCTGAGTTGATCCCCTAGTCAAAAATAGTCAAAGAACATCTGAACTCAAATTTCATGCTTAATCAGCTTAATCATCATTCTCCACATCAAAGATGCTATTGTTCAGCAAAATCCTGTAATTTATCAACAACATATTATGTATACATATGTATATATATATAATTATATATATATACATAATTATATATATAATTATATATATATACACATAATTATATATACACATGTGAATATCCTATTATATCACCATTCTTGTAGGTTGAGTTCACCATTGCCGTTGCTTAAATCCAATGAAATCGTCATGTTTGTTGCTTCAATCATGGTTAAATCCCATGAAACCACCATTTGTGCTGGTTAACCACCATTATCAGTGAAATTCCCAGCTAAGTCCTCTGGTTTCAGATGGTTTCAGCCCATTTCCTCCATTCAATCCCATGAAAACTCATCCTTCTTGTCGCTTAAATCAAGTGAAATCCCCATGGAAAATCCGGAGAAATCACCATTTTTCATGGTGAACTTCCCATGGAAAATCACCATGAAACCAAGTAACCGCCCCAAGCTCCCTCAGCACCGCCACCACCGTGGCACAGGCATCCCTTCTCGGCTCGTCGACGCTGCCCACGTAGGCCGCCTGCAGCAGCGCCGTGGTGCCGTCGCTGACCACGGCGTTGACGTCGGCGCCCGCGTGCGCCAGGTGCCGGACGATGTCGGCGTAGCCGCGCATGGCGGCCTGGAAGGATTGGAACATTTCACCACAGTTATGATGATTTTTCATGAAATCTACTGGGGATATACTGGGGATATACAGATCATATAGAAAGTAGATCAAAACAACATGGTTCCGATCGGAAAATCGCAACTGGTTAGTGTTGGAAAGTGGATGCAAAGGTGGTGCCCCAGTTTGGAGTCGCCTATGGGTGGTGAACATTTGTGGTGAATTCTATGGCGGTAGATATATCAAAGTAGTTCATGGGCTTTTTAACAAACATCACTGGGGGGGCACAAAATATAGGGTAAGTGGGTTGTAACCAACTTGAAATATGCCAGCGATACAAGGTGATGCACCAGTTTGTTAACCAAGTTTATTATAGATGTATTAAATGGTTGGGTTTATGGTAAACAAAATCATAGATATCCCTAGTCAACTAATAGGCTGACTTATTCAGCTAGAACCATTTGTCAAGTTTATAATTCCATTCCATTCTGTTTCCATTCTGTCCCATCACTTGCCATGCCCAAATATATCCGAAATATTGTTGGTCATCCAAGGGCCGAGGATGGGTTCGACATTTTTTCCCAACCCAAATGAGCTGCTTGATTGAATAACCAAAGGATTGATCCGTAGAAAGGAGATGTCTTATTCTAAATATCAGATGACTCTCCAAGTACTCTGCGAAAAATAGGTCATATATGTATATATATATATACCAGTTTTATACCAACTTTGCACGTGGAGGGTCTAAGTATCTGCAGATGTTCATGTGATAATGTTGTCACGGATAAAGAGCTGGAAGCACCTAGAATTGCCCTCCATAAATTGATATTGAACCAATCACAATGGAGGATATGTTTACTACGCCCGTGTTTCATGAGTCTAATTTGCTAACTAAAATGTTGAGAACAAATGGGGATGGGTCAAAACCCTGGTACCTAGTGAACCCCAAAATAGCTGGTAAATGGATGTTCATCCCACTAAAAATGTATCTATAGGTATTGACCCATACCCATATCCCCATTCATCAAGCCAACAGTCAACCAAGTTATAAGCCAACAGTTTGGATGTTTTTAGCAAGTTATAAGTCAGTGAACAGATCCCGATAGATTCCCCATTTCGAGTGGATCTCGGAAAAGAATCCACTTAGCAATCTATGAATCGGCTCTAAATCCCATGAAATCACCATGTTTTCTGGGTTAAAGTAACATGTTCCTATGGATTTCCCATGGTTTTCACCATTTTCCCATGGATTGTCCCATGATTTTCCTAGGGTTTCCCATGGTTTTCCATGGATTTCAGATGGATTTCCCATGGCGATCTTGCCAGGTCCCAGGTCGCCTGGTAGAGCGCCGTGACCCCCAAGCAGTCCGCCGCATTGGGTTCTGCCCCCGACATCAGCAGCACCTGCACCATTTCCTCCTCTCCACGTATCGCGGCCAAGGACAGCTCCTTGAAGCAATGGAAAAATGATGGGAAATTTATGGAAAACCCCATTTTATCATATGTTTTTTCTGAAGTTGGTATAGATACACCAGTTTTCTTTTAAAAAGGGCCCCATTTGGCAGTGTGTCAAAACCAATAGTACCCCTGTAGTTCACATCAAAATAGCTGGGATTTATGGATGTGAATAACCCACTAAAAATGGTATTAATAGGTATTGATCCATACCCATTTTGAATGGAGGATAAATTCATGATGTGCCATGGTCAAAGATTGGATTTGAGATTGGATTGAAAATGGGATTTCATCTCATGATATATCCAAAAAATGCCCATACTATCCCGTACTATAGATTTATACAGATTACTTTCCCATTCAAACCGCCATTTATAGCAAATGTCCCCTTGCTACGTTTGATTACCAGAAGGTAATCACAACAAGTTCTAAAACACCAAAAAGGTTCTGTAAGCAGGTTAAATCTCATGAAATCACCCAATTTTGCGACCCAAAAAAAGGCAGAAAACCTCTATGTATGGATGATTTTCCCATTAAAACCCACGTTTTTTTGGGGGATTTTCCATTACCAACCAAACAACGGCATAAAAAGTTCTCTCAGTTGGTTGAAATCATCTTAAATCCCATTGAATCCCATAAAGCCTCCATTTATAGAGGATTTCCCAAGTTCTCTAAGTAAACGCATGTTGCAGCCGGACACGGACCTATTTATAGATGATTTTCCCAGCGAACTAAACCTCCATTTAGTCCGGGCATTCTGCATATCCAAAAAAACATCGAAAAAGTGCTCCATCATTTATACAGGAACTCTCTAAGTACACATTGAAGCCTCTCTAAGTTCACATTGAAACCTCCAGTTCTAAGGGGATTTGTTCATTACCAGAGGATACCAGAGGTTAATCACCAAAAAAACACATCAAAAGTTCTCTAAGCAGTTCCAAGTTGTCGCTCCCCCCGAGGCTCAAATACTGCGCCAGGGCCTCCTCGGACACAACCTCTGCCTCCAGCTGTCGCACCAAAGCGTGGAAGATGAGCTTCTGACGCACCACGGTAGCATCCATGGCCGTTGAAACAGACGCAGATGTTGTGAAGAGGTAGCCTCTAGTTATGTCAACATAGCTATTGAAAATGGCCATGAATAGTTGATTTACCCATTAAAAATGGTGATTTTCCATAGCTATGTTAGTTTACCAGAGGGCAGTGATTTTGGCCAAAGTTGTGATGATTTTCATTGGTTTTGCCTGAAGGAATTCATCTAATTATGAAGGATAATGATGATTAACATGGGTTAATTAAATGGGGTATAACGGTATACGTAGAAACCCTAGACCAAAACAACATTGTAGCTTACCACGAAAATGTATATGTTGCCCATTAGAATTGTATTTCAACCTTTGGTTTCACTACTTGTGCGGACTTTTTGTTTGCAAACTTAGTGTCTTGGTAGAGATCTTGCACTGACGCACTGCTACCATATAGTGCTCCTCCCAAAGTTGCAAGGGAATTCGGAAAAGATTTCGAACAAAGCCCCAGGGGCCCCTTCTCAGAAGTACGAAAGATCTTGGTGATGAACTAACCTATTGATGATAGTCATGGGGCTTAGGGACATATTGGGAATCAGTGGGATCTGATCCTGTCCAGTAATCCTAACGCAAAGGCTGCGACCATGCTGCGACCATGGAATCCCATTCCCCCAGCTGAAAAATCCTCCAATTCATTCGGATACTACCATCAAAGATGAGAAAAACAAATAGAAAGATTGGGAAAATCTGTCTATCCCCCTGCAATTTTTAGGGACCCCATTGAGGTTTGCCAACCTCAATGGATGGAAAAACGGAAAAACTATAACAAATAATGGGCAAAAAATGGGCGAACATGGTTCCGCAACTCTTCATCCTCCCATTTAGTTGGATGATTTACCTATCAACAATTGTGGTTTTCCAAGTCATGTAAACAATACCAGGGGAATCGCTGATTCATCTCCATCTTTCTTGGTTTTGGAACGCCCTATTTGCAGACGAAGCCATTTCATCCATTTGTGAAAAAGGGGGCCCCCTGAAAGCCAACCGACTTGCCAGCGCCTGGTGTAAGGGCTAAAACAACGAGACAATATTTTTTTTTATGGCTGGTTCCCATCCCCAAGTTTGCTTTATGACCTTGGCCAACGACTGGTAGCGGATCGCCAAATCCAACCATCCAGTAGAACAGCCACGTTTAACTATGAGAAATCACCGTTTGTTGAAGAGCCAAATCATCATAAATCATCATAAATCATCATAAATCATCATCTGGTTGGTGGTGCAATAACCATCTTGAAAAATGATTGAGTTCGTCAATGGGAAGGATGACATCCCATATATGAAATGGAAAATAAGCCAAATGTTCCAAACCACCAACCAGTCACAAATCATAAACTACTAGATGGTTGGGAAACTCAGATCGTAGCTCCAACTGGCTCCCCATTTTTTTTGGAAATATGAATACCCCATGAATACCCCTAGCTCCTTAGCTCCCTCCTAACCACTGGATTTTCTAATCATCTATGAATTGACTATGTTCCATCGTTTTTTTGATGTTTACCGGAGGGTGTGGTTTGCGACGAGGGCTTTGACTTTCAGCTCTCTCCAAACGTCCAAGGCGTCCGGCAAACTCTCCAGAAGTGATCGCAGTCTTCATACCCTGCAGAAGCCATGTGCAATGTGGTGCCCCCTGGTTATAAATTGGTTTACAAACCCCATTAACTATAGTTATAAGTACCATAAACCATAGTTATTAGAGTTATAAACCAACTGAACGCTATCTTGGGGGCACCACCTTGTATTAACTGTAGTCATTTGCGTATAAACTATAGTGACATTGGAGTTATGTTCAACCAACTGAACGCTATCGTAAACGGGGGCCCCGCAGTGTGGGAGTGATTATGACATTAACTGATAAATACTAGATGGTTCAATATATGCCATATAGACCACAATACCATTTATTGAACCATATGGCATGTGGGGGTGATTATGGCATATTACATCATATTACCACTAATACTTCCCACATATGACCCTAAATGTTTTTTTTCATGGTTCAATAATGGTCATATGTGGGAAATATGTGGTCATATCCTAAGATCCCAACGAATACTTTCTGTCTATATGTGGTACCCCCTGGTAATGGCTGTGACGGTTTGCGACATAGAAAATGACCATAGAAATAGTGGATATTCCCATTAAACATGGTGATTTTCCACAGTGATGTTAGTTTACCAGAGGGTAATTTGCTGTTATCCATCTAAGTAATATGGTAAAGAAACGTAAAGAATAGTTGATTAGTTTGCATGTCTATCAACTGGGGGCGTACTATGATGGATATTGATGGATATTGGGTTTCACATGTTTACCACTTGGTCATATTTTCCACCCCCACTACCAATCGGTAAATGTGTGGTACCCTCTGGTAAACCAACATCACTATGGAAAATCGCCATTTTGAATGAGTAATTCAACTATAAATGACAATTTTAAATAGCTATTTTGACATAACCAGAGGGTAATTTGGCCAATTTCATGTAACCAAACATGGCGAAAATCCAGCAATGCTTCGATTTTCCGTTCCCGCTGAAACCTTCATAACATCGGTGAAGTGAAAACCTACAACCATCAAAAGTGGCTCATAGAACCCCAAAAAGATGTAGAAAAGATGGTGTTGATGATGACTTCTCCATAATTTACAGTTTTCGAAGTGTTTTATTTGTTGGGGGGTGCTACACCTTCTGGCAATCTAACATAGCCATGGGAAACCACTCTGTTTTTTTTTGGTAAATCATCTACACATGGGCAATTTTCTACAGCCAGTTCCTGACTTGGTGGCTCATCCCACTTCCTAACTAGGTTACATCCCTGGCTATAAATGAGAGTCGGCTTAATCCACTGACAACTGGCTTGAACCAAAACCTCTATGCAATTCATGGGACGCAGCACCACCTGCTGGATTCGTTTCTTCCCCGTGTCACCCTACGAAAACTTGGATGTACTTTTTTGGAACCCCGAAAAAGATGTCAAAGGGGAAAAACCTCACGTCATCAGTCATAAGTTGGTTTAGTTTCAGCAATGAAGACTGGCGTTCGTGAAATATCCCCATTCATCAAGCCAACAGTTAACCAAGTTATAAGCCAACAGTTTGGATGTTTTTAGCTAATTTATAAGTCAGTGAAAAAAAAACGATATTCCCCATTTCGAGTGGATCTCGGAAAAGAATCAGCTTGGCTATCTATTTTCATCAGCTCTAAATCCCATGAAATCACCATGTTTTCTGGGTTAAAGTAACATGTTCCTATGGTTTTCCCATGGTTTTCCATGGATTTTCCTAGGATTTCCCATGGTTTTCACCATTTTCCCATGGATTTCCCATGGTTTCGTTTGGGCCACCCGTTTGGCCACAGGTCCTCAGCGCCTTCAGAAAGACCATGTCCTTCAGCCGCTTCACCGAGGCGCTCTCGGCGGGAAGACGATCGCGGAGATGGTGATCTTCGGCGTCCTGGACGTGCTGGACGTGTTTCGATAGCTGACAGATAGAGATAGATGGATGGATAGATATATAAGATATATGGTGTATATATATATATCATATATATATAGATATTGGGATGTTTTTTTGTAATGCATGATCTGATGTGAAAAACCGCCAATGCAAAATGTTGCAGATCGGTCGTGTCCTCTGACCTTGGTGCCGCTTCCTTCCTGGCAGGTGCGCGCTCGGAGCGCGCTCCGTTGGAACCGAAGGGAACGGAACGGGTTGGTGGTTTCAACCTACCATTGTGGTTAATATACTGTTAATAATAGTTAATATATGGTCATTATATGGTTAATGATGTTTAATATATATATATATATATCGGGTTGGTGGTATACTAGCCATAGTAATGGTTAGTAATGGTTAATTAGCCATAGTAATGGTTAGTAGTGGTTAATTAGCCATAGTAATGGTTAGTAATGGTTATATAATTAGCCATAGTAATGGTTCGTAATGGTTTATTCTAATAATACTCTGGTTGATGGTTGAGCCCTACCCCTCTGAAAAATATATAAAAATCAGTTATTATCCCCAAACCACCCACCAGACTATAGAGAAAGGTAAGATCCGATTATAAGAGTGGTATCAATGGGAATTCCAGGATCCTAAAATGGAGGTACTGAACCATATAAGGCCATATTTTCTGGGGATATCCCCTTACATAGCCCTTATATATGCCTTATATATGGTAGGTACCTCCAATCAATCGGATCCTGAAATGGCCATTGATGGTAAATGATGTGTCGCTTTTTTTGGGCTACAAATTCACCTGTGTTATCCTATCGACCCAGTGACCATCCTTTTGGTGATTTCTTCGAATGGCAGATTCTCTGATCTGGAAGTGTAACCAGTAAGGTGGGAAACCAGCTAGGTGGAAACCATCTATACTTGGATCTGCATTTCTGCTAGTAAGTGTTTTATAAATGTTTATAACCTACATTTGTTTGTGGGAACATTAGTAAAAACTACAGTGGGCCTTGGGTAGGGTGAATTTATCCACTTACTAAGTGGGATACACCCCTAAGTAGGAACTCATCTACAAGGCAACCTTTTGGTCACTTCAAGCAATTTAAGTCCCACTTTTCAGATGCCATGAATCCACATGAATTATATTTAAAAAAAGTTGCCTTATACAAACCCACATAACCAGTTGCCCCATGTTTTTAAACATTTTTCCCCGAATCCAAGGGTTTATAATCCGATTGGTTTCCTGCCTATTCATTGCCATATCAATTTATGCCATATGTTAAAACAGAGGTTACTCCATATAAAATGCCATGTTAACAGAGGTTACCTGCCATTTTCAGACACACAAAAATATCAGATCATAACACATCATGTGGTTGGGAAACTATGGATAGCCCGAGTTCCGCTCCGAAGCGCTCCGACTCCGAAGCACTGGATGGTGATATTCCATGGTCTATGCACATATGACATCATGTCATATCATACCATATTGGATTCTACATGATTATACTTAGTAATGGATTTGTTTAGT